GGGCGGCCGGCGGAGTTCGAACTGGTGGCATGTACGAGGGGGCACGATTTTGTTTCAGCGTGGTACAATCACTATAAAAATGTAGAGGTTGGCATTGCTGGACTATGAAGAGCGACAGCAAAACTCTTTCGGGTAATTGACAAAAAGCTCACTAATCGGTAATGACACAGCCGAGTTGCCGCCAGGGAAAAATATACGTGTGAAATTTCATTAGGAATTTGTCCATCGATTTATCACCGTTCTATAATCCTACGGGTCTCGTAGGGCAATGCCCGCAGGCACACCCGCACACACGCACGCACGCATTGCAGGCTAACGCCACTGCGCAGCAGCACACGCGCAGGCTACGCACGCACGCGCACACGTGCACGGTCGCCAGTGCAACAACCGGCACACACAGACCAACGTACGCTACGCACCGCGCGCAGGCCCAACGCCCCGGCGCGCGCAAGCACCCCGCAGGCACACACCGGGCCAAGCACGTCGCACCAGGCACACAGCGTATATGACGCGCGGGCCGGGCGTGCGCGCGCTTGATTGAATGCAATACAGTAACAGACACACATGCATGCCTTAATGTAAAACACTTGACAGTCACACCGTACCATCAAGAGTACAATAAGTAACTACGCATGGTGTTATTATGTACTCTTGTCCCCATGATATTCTCCGCGCGTGGAACCGGCTGCTCGCTAGCGGCTGAGGCAAGCGAGAGGCGGCAGAGGCGGGACCCGACCTGGACAATGGCGATTTCCAGGCGCGAACATCGCTTCCGCGCAGCCTATTTTTTCCCCTGGCGGTGTTGACGGTTTACGGACTTGCGGGTTACGGACTTGGCGGGTATCTGCTCCCCTTAAAATTTCTCAACGAATCTTTACATCGAATTTGGAATAACCCATAAATTAGAACTATAAATCGGCGGATTTTCCGCCATTTGGCGGACATTCACAACTCCCTTGTTACTACTACGCAATTGATTAATGAATGCGACTTAATTGAACTCACGTCAACGAACTTTTCGATGTCAAATTTGTAAAAATTTTGTTCTTGCCAATTTTTTTTACATTAAAAGTAAGTATACTAACGGGACTTATAACGTATACGTCAATTCTTACCTGATAAGATTGTTTTCTCAACTAGTTAAAAATCAAAAAAACCTGGTAGGGATTGAATATTAAGTTGTTTCCTGCAAATAATTGCTTGCTATGGGCTATGTATGAGTCAACGAGTGTATGTTTCACATAGAACAATTAGTAAAACTATGAAGTATAAGTGCAGCAATTTTACCATAAAAAGTGAAGCAGAATTATCTTATATTTTTTGTGAGCAAGTGGAAATATTTTTTTTTTTTTTTTAGTATTTCCGGTGACGTAATCACTTTAAACAATGGCCGTGATTGTGATGTGATGTCCAAGATGAAGGTGATGTGTGTTTTGAGCCCACCCACGCACTGGAGGGATGTACCTTATTGGCTGTTCTTTCGTTCGCATGTTGGGTCTGTATAGATACGGTTGGTGTTCGACGCACGCGCATACGCTCGCTCACACGCACGCACAAACGACATGAGGGAGAGAGTAGAAAGAGAGGAGTTTATAGAATGTGCGTTATTTTAACGTCTTGGATAATAAAACGACAATTTACTGATTAGTTATAGTGATCTTTTATTAGTGATCGCAGTTCTTGTTGCTCCGATTGAAGCAAATGAAATCTCCTAAAAAAAAAGTAATACACCGATTTGAACAGTTCTGCGCGCTTATGTGTTTCTGCGCCAGTAGTTTCGCATCTCCGCGAGAGCCGGATGTGCGAGTAAACTCGCGCCATGTTGTTTATTTGATGCGTTTGTCGGTTTCAAGGATAAGAGATGATGGTCCCAGTCAGTGATTGGATAGGATGATGTTAGTTTGATAAGATAGGACTGACATCTTTCTCTATCCCTGACCGCGTTTCCTCCTTGCCATATCCGCAGGTCGCTCACGCTTTGTGTCCAAGAACAGTGCACTAGCAGGGAATAGAGCACCGATAATTGATGACTCTGGAGTGGACATGTACACTTGATTACATTTAACCTTATTGGTCAATTCATGCCTCAAAAGCTTTTTTTCTAAGCCAATACATCCGTTGAAAGACCTTTACCAACTACACGCCTCACACGAGTAAAGAAATTTTAACTCGCAATTCTGGGACGGAAACTCCTCCCGACCCTTTGACCTTAGGCTTAGCTGGCATTGCGCTGAGTGTTAAAGTCTGTCAACTTGTTGTATTAACAAACCCTGTTGACCAGTTTTAACACTGCGCATGCGCTCAAGCCTAAGATCACAGTCCGGGAGGATTTTCGTTCCAGAATGCGCGAAGTAAATATGCGCGAACAATAGCGAATATGTAGCTGGCATCATAGCGGCCGCACCAGGCTGCCACAGTGTAGTTTGCATGCGTTTGTGCCTATGAGCTACAGTTTAGGTCAGCTTCCAAGAACGTATTGCTAGGGTTAGGAATACCGTTTCGATAACAAGGCTGCAGCTAAACGACGTAGTTCTGCCTTATACTTCCACAGTATCGCCGATAAGATACACCACACATGGTGATATACAAATGAATCAACGTAGAAACGTCCACCTTCTTTGTAACCATCAGTGCGCTATCGATGCGCTGGTTACTTAAACGGGGTTTACAGGCAACTTTTTGAGACGAAGCAACAAATTTATGAATCTTGCCGCCATGTTTGCTTTTATTGCCGACTGTGACTGACCAAACTCCGCAATGGATCGAACAAGCAATTAAAACGATCTGCGGTGGGTCCATGTAAAACGTCCCTACATCCGAGAAACATGTCATCTACAGTTTTTTTCCAAATGGCCAGACATGTTGCCTGATACATCGTTTCACTTGCTTGGTGTGTAAATTGCCTTGAGAGCGCATCGTACTATTCTGTAGTATCTTTCTCGCTCGAGTCGTATCCGGTTCGCGGTTTTCCTTGTGCCTTTGCTAAACAGTGGCGGTTAAGAGCTGATTTGAAGTTTGATATGCTGTAGTAAGTTAGCAGATTATATCCGTTGATATAAGATATTACATTTAGTTTTAAACAGGACATTCTGTGAGTTAAGTTCATATTTTAATACAAGGCAAGTCAAAGGTGGTAATGGAAAGTTTTATTTGAGCCATATACAGAGTTATTCATCTAGATCTGCAGAGGTGATAGTTTTTTTGTATGGAGGGTGTCAGGCTGATAGACAATTCCGTCGCACGCCAGCCTGGGGCTACATTTCGGGTGAGGTCCACGCGTGCACAGCACAGCCATTTCAACAGAATTTGGAAGTAGTGCCTGCACTTTTAGGAATAAATGGAATAATAATAACATGGTTGGTAAAAGTTGTGGAAAAGTGTCCAAAAAGATATGGTGAGATGTCCTATGTTTGAGTAGATAAGTGTTTAAAAGCCGCGATCATTTTCCGATTTTAGGGATAATTTTTTGGTCACATCAGTTGAACCATTTGCATCGGATTATCATTTCTATAGCAAATGTGCTATAGCCCTGCGTGCAGCGATTCCGCGGCTATAGTACTAGAGCTATGTGAAGGCTGCTAAACGGATGCAGTAATTGGGCTTGAATAAAAAAGACTTTTTAGAGCATGCCATTGACCATGTAATTTAAATGTTATCAAGTGCATGGGTCCCTCAGTCAAATGTATCCATTATCGTAGACGGATCATAATTCTGTCCATATAACCATTTTTTTATATTGTGTGGTGAGGGTTATATTGGGAACATGAACGGGTTCATTGAAATTTTTGTGAGATGACGCATGCAAAATGCTGCGCTGCTAATGCGGCCCTACTGCCGCTGTTATTGCGCGAAAAAAACACCTACCTGTTCGTCTCTTTACTACAATGCTTTACCTTGCCACTGATATGTGTACATTTCAGTCTTCAAATACGTTATTTTACTTCTTAAAAGATTGTTTTTTTTCAGAACACCCGGCTTTGCATTAAGCTTGTAGTAAAATTACGTTGGCCATTGTTACAAACAATCCAGACGCAATCAAACAGCGAGCTATAGGCCTCCTGCACGCCAGCAGATACAAGCGATAAACCAGGGGCTATTGTAAAGACTGCTGTGATTTGGCCTGAACTGTTTGTAAATGGCCAACGTAATTTACTAAAGTTAATGAAGGGCGGGGGTTGTTCTGAATAAACAATCTTTTAAGCCAGTAATATAACGATTGAAGTGAATTTAATACACATATCATGTGGCAGAGGTAAAGCCATGTAGAAGAGAACGCTGTTTTTTTTTCGCGCCAATAGCGGCGTACGGGCCGCATTAGCAGCGCATCCATTTGCATTGCGATCTCACCGAAATTTCAATGGAAACCCCGTTCTGTCCCAATATAACCCTCACCAGAAAATATAAAAAGGTTATATGGGAACAGAAATTATTCGGTCTACGCATTACCGGTGCTCTATTCCTGCTACGCGCATACTGTTCCTTCGACACAAAGGTGAGCGAGCCTGCGTATGCCCCAGGCACGATAACGCATCGAGATAAACACATAGCAGAGTCTTACTCGTCACATCCGGGCTCTCGCGGAGATGCGAAACTACTGGCGCAGAACATAGGCGCAGAACTGTCAATGGGTGTATTGTCGTAGGGTCTAGTCTAGTCAGAATGAAGGCAGAAATTTAGTGATTCACTCAAAAGTGCGGTCACATACACCCTGCGATCTACATTTTCAAAATTTAGAATACACCAACCACAGACCCCCGCCTCTGTGCATACACATCCATTTCACCCTAGCTACGCCCCTGCTTGCTATCATTTAATAATTATAACTGCCCAAGCGCTTGTGAGTACAACTACTGGTAGGTGGTACTGTACTGAGTCAGAGTAAAGCCGTTTCATTCGAAACCGGCGAATTCGTATTTCAGCGTTAATTCTCAGTACACCACAAATATACGTAATAAAAAAACTATCAAACCCACACATACATTAAAACCGTGCTCACTTACCATCTTGGAAATGTTTATTTATATCGATTGCGACAGATTTTTACGGGTGTATGTAATCCTACGAAGATATTCAACTACAAACGAACAAACAACGCACAAAATACGTGCTTATATTGTGCCGCCATCTGGCGTGATGAATGCCCACCAACACCACTGGCACTGAACTTCATAACTGTAAATCTGTTATTATTGTTATTATCAACATAGACAAAATATATTCTTAACGATATTCTTAGTCTATATTA